CGGCCGCCCCGGAGAGGCAGCCGCGCCCTCCCCGCACGTCCTCCCTAGCCCACAGGCATTTCTAGGCGTTGCAACGCTGTTTCTGCGCCCCGAGGCGCACGTGACCCCCGGCGCCGACGTGCCGCTGGCCCTTACCCAGCGCGAAATAAAACCCTGCCGGCGGTGCGTAAGAAACGTGACTCCTGACAAAGCGAAAATAGTCGGCTCGGCGTGTGGCACGCAGCAGTTTGCGGTATTATTTAGTTTCCCTGCAGAAACCTATTGTCACAGATTAGTTCTTTTGTTGGCGGTAGCAGCGATTTTGCTTATCCCTGGCTCCCAAGGGCTTAAGCAAGGGGAGGCGTTTTCCAAATCGCTTGTGCCCTTCACAGCCTTGTTGTTACTAGTTTCACCGCAGGGAAGACACAAATGCAGGAAAAAAGTATTGACCAATGTCTGTTATCGCACTGTGCTTTGGCGTTCGTTGCACCCATAAAGTAACAATTCATTGTCCCTTCATGTTTAGTGAAAGATTAAAAGTCAAGTTAATTTTTTTCCCTGCACTGCTGACTTTCAGGAGCAGAGAGGAACGCACAGTTCACACTGTGAAAACCATATACAACAATACCGGTAATTTTTAACAATCATACTTTAAAAGACACAGTTGCAGCAAAAAGGGCTGTAATTTAACATTTAGCCTGGTTACCAAAATAAAGACTGCACGTGAGCTACCAAAATTGTTCAGCAAGAGCGGCTACGGTGGTGTGGAAAGACAACACCCGCTGCAGTTTTCCCCCACACGGACAACATCGTCTTCAAAATGCTTTCACTGAACGCGCTGCAGGAAAGGGCTGTGCACGAGCGAGCGGAAAAATGCCGCGGTGGGAGCATTCGTGCATCTCCTGCTGCGCCCTGGTCGAAGAGGGAAGCAAAGAGCCACCCGGGAGAGCAGAGCCAGTCCAGACCCGTTTGACAAGTCCGGATAGACAACGGGAACTTGATTCGCCGCAGACGTCAGCGCCAGGTCTGGAAACTCAAATAATTACTAGCAGAGCTGTGCAAGCCTGTTTTGGGGGGGAAAAAAAAAAAGCATCTGGCCCTTAGTTTTCTCCCCCCGCAACCTGCTAAAAATGAAAGTTTTCCAAGCGCCAGTTGCTGTTTAATAGACAAGCCTAAGTTTAGAGAGCCAAAAATAAAACAATACGGGCATCTGGTGCTTTGTGTGTGTGATGCAAGCAAAGGAAGCTGCTTTTTTCCCGCAATTCCCTCCGCGCCAGCCCTGCGAGGCCGAAGCCGTCACCGCTGCCAGGGCGCTTCCGGCCGGCCAGGCCCACCACCCCGCGCGGGACCTCAGCATCACCCTGCCTTTTTCCACCTCCCTGCGCTACTTCAGCCTGAGCACGAGTCCGGAGTCACTTGGCCGACAGGGACATGCCGCGGTTTTGGGAGCAGGACACGTGAGTACCAGGGAGGTCCACCTCCAGGTCTGGCAAGGAGCCGAGTTAGCTAGCACCTCGGGCCCCTCGGGCTGGGAACAGTCAACATCTGCCAGTGCCGTGGCCTGGGCTTTGCAAGAGCGACCGCAACTCGAGCCCGGCCCCGGGCTTCAAAGCGCTCGTGGACGGACCAAACATCGGTGGCCGGAGCTCGGCGAGTTTCTCGGGCTTACCTCTGGAGCTGATGTGATCTCCTTCAGCTGGTGCGATGCAAGCTGGACGTTGCTTAATGTCGAAAGACTTATTTCTGCCGTCTTCTACTAAAGCACGCTGATGTGAGCTGAAGTTGATAACGAGATGGCCGTGTTAAGCTAGTATAAAAAAAAAAAAAATC